ACACACACAGAGTTCTTCTCCAGCAACATCCAGGGTGCAGGCCAGAAGGAGATTTAGGGGCCAAGAAGTTCAGAGTCCAAGTCCGAGTGAGAGGTGAGGCTTGGTAGGGTTGGATGGATGGATGGATGTACATCTTTCCTTGTGGGTCTATAGGAGGTTGCTCCCGCTCCTGGCCGCAGCTGTGGGAGGTGGGTGGCGATGATGATGGCTGTGTTGGGGGGGGTCAGAGGTCACAGGAGACCCTATATTTCTTTGGGGTGGATTTAATCCTCTGCCAGAAGCAAATCATCCCTCAGGGTCTTTCTGAGAACTCTAGGTGATGGGAAGAGCAGCTGAGGTGGAGGCCCAGATGGAGGCCCAGCCCCGGGCTCTTCCTCTTGCGCTTAACTCCTGGCTGCAAAACTGAACCCACCAAGATTAAGCACTGGCAACCACTGCCCCGTAAGCCCCGGGGCCCCAGGCTGGCTGCTCCCCCAGGCCTCTAGGTACTGTAGGTAAGGCCGACCCAGCCCCAGGCCATGGGCGGGGGAGGGAGGGGTGACCTCCAGGTGAGGCAGCAGCCCGTCTGTAATCCTGGTGGGTCAAGGGCAGACACCCTCCCTGCCAGACACAAACAAAAAGGGACCTGAAGCTCCTCCCTGGGGAGCACCAGAGGGCGGGGCTGAAAAGGGCCAGTGCGTGTGTGTGCGTGTGCATGTGTGTGTGCATGTGTGTGTGTGTGTGTGGGGGGGCTGTCCTGACTGAGGATGGGGAACCTAGAAATTTCTGTGGTGCAGCAGCGCCAGAAGCTGTTTTCCTGCCTGGCCAGCTTCCTTGCCACCAGGAGTCGCTCTGATGTCTCTGCCCTCCCTCCCCTGACACCCGGGGCTCCCCAAGGGGGAGGGGGCTCTGCCCTGAGGGGTCCTGTCCCTCCTTTCTGCCTTGATTGCCAGTGTTCCCTAAGCCCCTGCCATCTCGGCCTGTCCTGCCACACTGTGATTTTCTCCGGCCCCACTAACATGGTGGATGGGAGTTTTTGTTTCAAAAGAGCCCCGGGTTTTGGGCAGTGTGCAGACGCCTGTAATCTCTGCTACTCTGGAGGCTGAGATCTATAGATAGCAGTTTAAATGCAGCCCTCAGGGGGGTTAGGAAAGCTCCAGAGACTCTTATCTACCATGAATCAGAAAAAGCCTGGGGTGATGTCATTGTTTTTAGTGGTAGAGCACTAGCCTTGAGCAAAAAGGAAATTTAGGGACTGTGCCTAGGCTCCCAGAGTTCAGGGCCCAGGATCTGACACAAAAGACAGGGTCAAAGGGCTGGTGTGGGGAGAAATAGGGAGAGAGTGGGGAGGGAGGGGGAGGAGAGGAGGGGTGAGAGGGCAGGTACCTGCCTGGCTAGGAAGCTATTAACTACTATTATAATTTTGCTTTTATTTAGGTTCTGGCTTGAACTCAGGGTCCAGTAGCGCATGCCTGTAATCTCAGAATGTGGGAAGATGGGGCTGTTCCAGGCTAGCCTGAGCTACGCAGTGAGACCCTGCTTCAAAAAAGAAGAAAAGATTGACTGTGCTGCTTGAGCCCTACTACCCTTCCCCCCTCTCCTCCCCCCTCCCCCCTGCATTCAGCTGTGATTGTACTAATTAATGATGGCGTGTCTAGGTGGGGGGGGGGGAGATGGAGGGAACAGGGGTGTCCCTCGTTAAAGCTGCTGTCCCCTCCCCCTAGGGTCACCAGTCTGGACTTAATCCTTGCTGATCCCCTCCTCCTGCCATTCTGCTGAGGTTGTCCTAAGCCGATTGGAGCATTTGCTAAATTAGTCCTGTGCCGGTGCAGAGGAAACTGGGATGGGAGGGGGGAGGGTCAGGGGGAGGGGACAGCGGGAGGGGGGGAGGGGGACCCCAGAACCACAGGGGAAGAGTACTGTTCGCCTCTAGAAAAGGTCTGCAAGGGATAAAAACTGAGAAGGGGAGGCTAGGAGTCAAGCACAGAAAATATGGAGAGGACATCAAGTGTGGTAGTGCATACCTGTAATCCCACAGAGGCAACATAACTCCACAAAACATGGAGAGTTCAAGGCCAGCCTGGGCTACAGAGCCAGCGAGGGTGAATTCTCATTAAGCTTGCCTTTCCCCTCTGGTCCTTCTTGTTCTCTGAGAATTGTTTGTCGCTGTCATAGGACCCCTGTGTCATAGGAACAGTGGTGGATTCGGGAAATTACAAAGTCCTGGGACTAAAACTGTAATCAAACTGGGCGCCGGTGGCTCACGCCTGTCATCCCAGCTACTCAGGAGGCTGAGATCTGAGGACCATGGTTCAAAGCCAGCCCGGGCAGCAAAGTCTGTGAGAGTCTAATCTCCAATAAACCTCCAGAAAACTGGAAGTGGCGCTGTGGCTCAAGCAGTAGAGTGCTCCCCTTGAGCTGAAGAGCTGAGGGACAGCGCCCAGGCCCAGAGTTCAAGCCCCATGACTGACACAAGAACAAAAAAATGAGCTACACGTTCAGCCTGGTGTTTTCCTGTGTGAATCTTCCTTTTCGTGGATGATCACAGTCCCTGGCTAAGAGAACCACGCGTGGTTTTCCAGCCTCCCTCCATGGGCCCTTGGATGGTTTCCGTTTCTCCTCTATTGTCAATAGTTCTGCTATGCATATGGAGAACCTCCCCCCCCCCCCCGCCCCATGTCTCCCCCAGAAACAAAGACAGGTCAGACACAGTGGCTCACACCTGTCATCCTAGCTACAGAGAAGATGAGGGATCTAAGCCAGCCTGAGCAGAAAAATCTGTGACACTCCATCTCCTATTGAGCAGCAAGAAGCTGGACTGGAGGTGTGGCTCAGGTGGTCGAGCACCCACAGAGCAAGAGAAAAACCCTGGGGTGGGGGTGGGGGGGGAGACGTGAAGACAATAAAGCACGCCAGACTTTGTATAGGATCCAACACTTTTAATCAGTTTCCCTTTGAGGGTAGCCAGAGAGCGGGCAAGGACCGGATGTCCAGGAGGAATGGGGGGGGGGGCCACTGGTCTCCTCCTTTTGGTGTCACCCTGGCCCAGGAAAAGGGAACCCAGGATGTCTGGCAGGTGCCTGAATGAGGCTTACCCCCCATCCCCCATGGGGCCTCTTAAAGTCTAACCTCCTGTTAACTGGGACCTCTTGGCTTCTAGAACATTCCATTCATCCTTCATGACCTCACAGCAGACTCAGACTTTATTTGAATATTTTGCAGAAATGGGGGGAGGGGGACCCTCCCAGGCCTGAGGAACACCTCCCCCCCCCCCCCAACATCCTTCAGCCCAGAGACTGGAAATCATGCTAGAATGATCCTTGTTCACAAAATCCTTATTCAACCCTGTGTCTTAAACTGGATTTAGCTCCATCCCAGAGCCCTGTGTGGCCCTTGAGGAATGCCCAGATTTGGGGTGTGTGTGTTGTGTTATGTGTGTGTCCAGGCTGATGCACTTGTCCCAGTGGCTCATGCCTGATATACCAGACACTCAGGAGGCTGAGAACTGAGGATCGAGGTTTGAGGCCAGCCTGGGCAGGAAAGTCCGCGAGACTCTTATGTGCAAGGAACCACCAAAAAACCACAAGGGAAGCTGTGGCTCAAGTGGTAGAGCGCCAGCCTTGGGTGAAAAAAGACAAGGGAGAGTTCAAGGCCCCCAGTTCAAGTCCCAGGACCTCCTCCAGACATAGAAATCTGCTGTTTCCCCTGACTTCTTCTCACACGGTGCTCCCGGGTGCTCCCAGGCTGGAGATCTCGTGACTAACTTGAAACCAACCAGGGAACTAGGCAGATGGCACAAATCAGAGATTTGCCATCCGCCTCCCTGCCCCTTGTGGTCTGTCCTCATCCGGCCTTGTCAATCAGCCCGTTTGGCTCCCGCCCCTTCCTGCCCCCCACCCCCACCCCAAGGAGATCTCAGCCCCTGGCCAAGCCCCCTGTGCTAACCCAAACTAAAACACAGCACGAAAAGCTAGGAGAGGAAGAGTATATTTGAGATGAAGGCTTTGCTTCCAGACCTTGTCTGTCTCCCCATATCTACAAAGGAGAAAATGCTTTCCCTTAAAGACAACTATGAGGGGCCGCCCCTCCCTCGCCCAGCTACCCCGATTCTATCAGTGTGTTTGGGTGGACTTTTCCAGTAGAAAATTCTAAAACACAGCCAGGCATGGTAGGGCATGCCTGTAATGCCAGCACTCGGGGGACTGAGGCAGGAGGATAGTGAATTTGAGGCCAGTCTTGTATCAAAAAGAAAAAAAATAAAAGGAAAAGGAAAAACCAGAGAGTGCCAATGTCTCAATGCTTATAAAGTTACCCACGAGGCTGAGATCTGAGGATCGTGGTTCAAAGCCAGCCCAGGCAGGAAAGTCTATGAGACTCTTATCTCCAATAAACCACCAGAAAACGAAGTGGAGCTGTGACTCAAGTGGTAGAGCACCAGCCTTGAGGGAAAAAGCTCTAGGAGAGTGCCCAGGCCCTGAGTTCAAGCCCCAGGACTGGCACAGGAGAAAGGAAACTAAGAATCTGGATGTGTATACATTATTATACTAGAAGAACATATGTGTGAACTATGACCTCTAACTCCCTAGTAGCTGGAATTACAAGTGTAGACCACCAAGTCCGGCTCCAAGCTAATTTTAGAAGGTCACATATCCAGGCTAATGTAAGCATGGAATTGTATCCGGGTTAACTTCATAATGTGAACTGTATCGTCGACCTAAGTGGAGACAATGGGAATGTGTTTTTGGTTTTTTCTTTATGGAGGGAGGGGGATTTCTAGAAAGATCCTTGCTTCGGTGCTTTAGGAGTGACCCCGGTGGTAAGCCAGCAGCAAGATTTGCTTTGCTTCCCTCCCCGCCTCGCCCCTCCAGGAAGGGAGCAAGCGCTCAGCATCTGGGACATCCTGAGATTCGCTGTCCCAGGACCCGAGGAAGAGGCAGAGGAGGTGCGCTGTTGCAGTCTCTGATCTGAAGTGGCTAGGCAAGAGGGGGACTGAGGGGGGGAAGACTGAGGGGGGGGGTCCCCTACAAGATCTGGAACTTCCAAGCGCTCTGATCACGGCAGTCTAGGGTATCCATGGCGTTGTAGCTGAACTTCCAGGTAGCCGTGGGATCCTTGAACTCCAGGCTGTCCACGGGGCTGTAAGCTCCGTACCCCTGGCCTGACAAAGAGTTGGGGGACTGGGCGAGGGTCGGGCCGGCCAGGGGGCTCAGGGCAGGGCCCCCCAACTGGGGCACCATGGGAGAGAGGTAGGGGTCTAGGCCGCTGAAGTAGGAGCTGGGTGAGCCATAGGCCGATGGGGAGGCGCAGAAGGCCGGGGCCGGGGCGTAGGTCATGGCGTAGGGCGCAGCCCGCTGGGCCTCGGGCAGAGGGGACTCCGAGGCTGGACTCCAGATGGCCACGGAGGCCACGGCCGCGGTGGGAGAGGCCGAGGGGCCTGGCAGAGGGGGGCTGTAGGAGTCGGAGATGCCCAGCGGGTCCTCACACGTGTCGGTGGCCGGCTGTGGGGACATGGTGGCCTTCTTCTTGCTGGGCCGGGCCTTGGCTGGGGCGCCGGGCGGCTGCTGCTGTTGTTTCTGCTGCCTCTGTTGCCTGCACTTGGCCCTGCGGTTCTTGAACCAAACCTGGGGAGTCGGAGGAGGGTAAAGAAGGGGGGCCGACATGGGTAAGGTATATTAGAAACACACCGTCAGACGGGCACCGCGGCGCATGCCTGTAATACCGGCGTACTCAGGAGCCATCTGAGGATTGCCATGCAAAAAAGCTGGCACAAGCCTGTGAGACTGTCCTCTCCCAATGAACCAGCAAAAAGCTGGGCATGTGGCTCAAGTGGTCAGGTGCCAGTCTTGAGGACTAAGGCTCAGGCTCTGAGTCGGGGGTGTGGATGGGCATGGGGGGGGGGTCTGGGAGGGTGGGGGGCCAACATGGCACCTGGACCCTGGACTCGGGGAGGTTGATCTTCAGGGCCACCTCCTCGCGGGCGTACACATCTGGGTACTGGGTCTTGGCGAACAGGGCCTCCAGCTCCTCCAGCTGGCCGCGGGTGAAGGTGGTCCGCTCCCTCCGCTGCTTCCGGGGGGCGCCTGGGGGCAACGGGGACCCTCAGCCGCCGGCCCCAAGGTGTGGGTTCCGGGTGGCGGGGGGAGGAGGTGCTTCTGAGTGTCACCCACTCACCCAGAGCCCACGTCTGCTCCCTGATGCCGACGCCCCTGAAACCAGGCTTCAGAGCTAACTCAGCCCTGGTGCTGACAAAACCGGCTTCAACTGGTGACCAACATGCTCTGCCCCCTTCCCTCCCTCCCTCCCTCCCTCCCTCCCTCCCTCCCTTCTCCTTCCTTCCTTCCTTCTTCCTCCCTTCCTTCCTCCCTCCCCTTCCTCTCTCCCCTTCCTTCCTCCCTCCCCTTCCTCCCTCCCCTTCCTCTCTCCCCTTCCTTCCTCCCTCCCCTTCCTCTCTCCCTCCCCCTTCTTCCCTTTCTTCCTTCTTCCTTCCTTCCTCCTCTTTCCTTCCTCTCTCCCCTTTCCTCCCTCCCTTCCTTCCTCCTTCCTTCCCTCATCCTTCCTCCCTCCCTCCCCCTTCCTTCCTTCCCCCATCTTTCCTCCCTCCCTTCCCCTTCCTCCCTTTCTTCCTTCTTCCTTCCTTTCTCCTCCTTCCTTCCTTCCCTCTTCCCTCCTCCCTCCCTCTTCCTCCTCCCTCCCTCCCTCCCTTCCTTCTTTCTTTCCTTCCTTCCTCCTCCTTCCTTCCTCCTCCCCCTTCCTCCCTTTCTTCCTTCCTTTCTCCTCCTTCCTTCCCTCTTCCTTCCTTCCTCTCTCCATTCCTCCCTTTCTTCCTCCTTCCCTCCTCCTTTCTTCTTTTCTTCTTTCCTCCTTTCTTTTCTTCTCCTACCTCCCTACCTCCCTTCCCTCATCCTTCCTTCCTCCTTCCTTCCTTTCTCTTCCTTCCTTCCCTCCCTTCCTCCCTCTCTCTTTCCTTCTTCTCCCCTCCCTTGTTTTCCTCCGGCTCTCAGTCCTCCATCCCCCCAGTGTGGTGATTACAGGGGTACCCACCCGGCCCCACTCCTGGCTTTCTTTATCATTTGATGTTTACAATGGAGATCTAGTCATGGAGTCCATTCCGGCCTCCACCTCCTGATCTCCCATCCCAGCCTCTGTGGGCGGGGACGACAGGTGTGCCCTACCACACCAGCCCCTCCCACACCCCTGAGACTGTCCACCCGTCCTGCCCTGTGGCAGAGGGACAGGGAGCAGGTGCATGACCCCATGTCCCAGCCTGGGCGCCCTCCTCCTGACAGCAAGGACCCCAGGAGATGCCCCCTGCCTTCCCTGCCCCCCCCAGCCGGGCACTCACTCGGGTAGGGCACAGCCTGGCGAATCAAATCCACACTGGGGCCACTCAGGGCCAAGGCGTTGACGGAGTAGTGGGCCCCGGGGTTCATATACGCCATCATGGTCTCCAGGTGTGTGGGCCCAGGCTGGGGGGGTGCGCTGTAAGACAGGGGGGGCAGCAGACACTGACGGATGGACACCAGGGGCAGCGGCTCGAGTCCTGCTCCACCCCGGGTCTCTTCTTCAAGTTCAGGCTGAGGGGGACCTCATGACGACTGGCCTGGAACTCAATCCTCCTGCCTCAGGCTCCCCAGTGCTGGGATGACAGGTGTGCACTACCATGCCAGGCCTGGTCTCTTCTTTTGGAGGGGGGTGGTCTTATCCCATGTCCCTGTGCCTCAGTTTCCTCGTGTGACAAATACACTAGGGAGAAGTAGAGGGAGAGCTGAGACCACCATGGCTTGTAATGGGAAGTTCTAGTCTGGTCTTGTTCCAGGAGCCCAGGGAGATGGGGCTCAGCCCTGGGCACAACCGTGGAGATCAGGGCACAGGGGGCAAAACCTGGGACAGTCCTCAGCTGGGAGGGCTGGGTCTCCCTGAAAAGACGGCGAGCGTGGGGCTCTGTGCGGAGGGCGTGGCACAGCGGGGCGCGGCTATGCATTGGGGGCGTGGCCTCTCGGTGGACATGACCCCATGGCTGGACGTGGCTCTTTGGGGGCGTGGCCCTACAGGAGGGTGTGGTCTGGTGAAGGGGCGTGACTCTGTGCAGGTGCCATCCAATAAGATGGCTGGGGCTCCATGATGGGGTGTGGTGCTGTGACGGGGGCGTGGCCCTATGATGGGGCAAGTCCAGTGATAGGGCGGGGCTCTGCATGGGGGCGTGGTTCGTCGCGGGGGCGTGGCTTCCTAGAGGCAGCCAGGTGGGCCATCAAGAGGCTCAGGCCAGGCGCTGGTGCTGACAGCTGTCATCCACCTCCTCAGGAGGCTGAGATCTGAGGACCGCAGTTCGAAGCTAGCCCAGACAGGAAAGTCGTTGAGCCTCTTATCTCCAATTAGGCACCAGAGAAAGTGGGAAGTGGAGCTGTGGCTCAAGTGGTAGAGCACCAGCCTGGATAGAGACAACACCTAGGCTTTGAGTTCAAGCCCTAGAACTGTCACACACACACACACACACACACACACACACACACACACACACACACACACACACACACACACACACAGAGCTACAGATATTCTGGTCCCTGCCTGGCTCACCACTGTGTATGTGGGTCTTGGAGTTCCCAGTGTCTGCCTTCCCAGGGGTCCTGGGTCCCACGTGACCAGTTCCCCTCGCAGGTGGGGCTTCCACGGCCACAGCTGCCTGTGAACAGCGCCCCTCATCCGGGGACACTCTCTGAGTCACTGACAAAGGGTTTAGGGACAAGGACTCAGGACAGAGCAAGAACCCAGCAGAGACTTGTTCCGGGCTTCACCCTTACAGGCAGGGAAACTGAGGCTCAGAGGAGAACCAGGTCTGAGCCTGGATGCTCTGACCACCCCTCACCCTAAGATTCTCTCCTTTCTGCCCCCCCCCCCCCCCCGACCCCAGAGATTCATGTCTCAAAGGAGGAAACCGAGGCCCAGAGAGGCCACATGAAGGGCATAAGGTCACACAGAGACGAAGAGAAGGGACTAAAAGGAGACTTAAGTAGCTCCAGGTCAGTCCTGGGCCAGATCCCTCCAGCTCTGCCCTCAGGGGTGGGGGGAAAAGGGTATGGGAGATGGGAAATCAAAGCCCCTGGGTGTAATAAGAACGCTAAGGAATCCATCCCAATGTGGTAACTCCAAGATGACCCTCTCTCAAACCCCCTGGCTCGTCCTGTAGTGCACACACCTAATCTCTCCTGAAGTAGCCAGAGGCCCTTGGTCTCTCCTGTATGTACGAATTTCATCCCACTTAATCTTGGTCCCTCCTTCCTTCCTTCCTTCCTTTTCTTCCTTCCTTCCTTCCCTCCCTTTCTCTCTCTCTCTCTCTCCCCCCCCTCTTTTTTGAGTCTTATTTAGCCCAGGCTTTCCTGGAGTCCTGAATTTTCCTGCCTCAGTTTCCCCAAATGATAGGATTACAGACGTGGGCCACGACACCCGTGTTTATCCATTCTATCTCTGTCGTTCAGCTATCCTTTGAGTCAACCAATATTTGGCACATGCCAGCCAGCACGTGCCAGGCACTGGGAAGAGAATTGCAGTTTCGTAAGGGGCGAAGTCAGCACAAAATTGCAAAGCCGAGCATGGTGGCTCATGTCTGAAATCTCAGCCTCTTGGGAGGCAGCGATTTGGAAGAGTGAGGATCAAAGCAGCCTGAGGACAAATAAATAAGTACATAAAAAATAGCGAGATGCCATCTCAACCAACAAGTCGAGTATGGTGGTGCACACTCGTGGTTCCAGCTACATGGCAGGTGTAGGTTGGAGAATCTAGATCCCAAGCCAGACCTGGGACAAAAGCAAGAGAAAGTATTCACACCTGTCATCCTAGCTGCTCAAGAGGCTGAGATCTCAAGCCAGCCTGGGCAGGAAAAGTCATTGAGACTCTTACTTTCAACTAACTATAGAAAAAGCCAGAAGTGGCACTGTGGCTCAAGTGGTGGAGTGTTAGCCTTGAGCAAAAAAGAAGCTCAGGGACAGTGCCCAGGCCCTGAGTTCAAGGCCCAGGACTGGCAGACAAAGCAAACAAAACCCAAAAGCTTCACAGGCTAGGGGTAGAGACTCAAGGAATAGAGTGTCTGCCTAGCAAGTGTGAAGCTCTGAGTTCAAATCTCAGTTCTGCCAGAAAGAAAGAGAGGAAGGAAGGAAGGAGAAAGGGAAGCAGGGAGGAAGCTCAACAGGAAGATGACTTGAATAGGAGCTGCCTTTGCAGCCTGAAGAAAGCCTTGGGTTTTCATAGCATCGTGCGCGTCAGCGAACAGTCCCCTTCCATCTAACCTCAATCCCTCCTCATGCTGTCCCCTAGAAGATCTGCTTCTCCCCGCTTCTCCCTCTTACCTGCCAGAAGACTCTTTTGCTTCAGAAGCACAGGTTGGCAATGCCTGTTGGGCCAGAGCCTTGGGATCTCAGGAGCAGAGGAAGCCAAGCTCTGCGCGAGGGTGGATTTAAGCTCCCGTGGGCAGTGATGTCATCTGCTATGGCCTGGATTGGGGAGGGTAATCCCTGCCAAAGTGGGGGCTCTCCCCCCCCACTGGGCTCCAGGAGGTGACATTGGGCTTCAGGGGAGGGGCACCCCTCCGCTTAATCCCCTCCTCCCCTTTCCTGGGACATCTGGGCAATTATTGTTGGTGGGGAAGGGAAGCCCAGCTTCCACCTCCTCCCCCTGGCAGGGAAGTTCTGCCTTGTGTCTAACTGGTGTCCTTCCAGCTTTGGCTATTGTCCCAAGAGGGACGCATCCAAGAGGAAGGAGGGAAATGTGTGTGTGTGTGGGGGGGTGAAGGGGAGGGGGGGATTGTGAGAGATCGTTTGGAAAAAAGAAAAAGAGGGGCACAAGGCTTTACATTAATCAGTATACGGCCTGATTGTTCTCGCTGCCTGCCTCAGTTTCCCTTTTTGGGCCTGCTTTTGCCTTGATCTCAGTCTCATCCCTAACCTTGCTGTCTCTATGTCTTTGGGCATAAGATTTCCTTCTTCCTCCTCCTCCTTCTCCTCCTCTCCTTCTCTCTCGTCTTCGGTGTATTGTGTATACACCTGTCTCTCTGTCCTTCTGTCCGTCTGACTCTGGTGTCTCCCCAGCTCTCTGCTGGTCAGTCCTTCACTTTGCTATCTGTCTGTCTGTGTAAGCCCCCCCCCTCCCGCCCGCCACCCTGCTTCCCCCTCCCTCTCCCCCCCCCCCCACCCGTCTTTGGTTTCCTTCTGTCTGTTCCCCTGTCTGTCTGTCTTTCTGAATTAACATTTATTAATATCTCCCTGAGCTTCTGGTACCCACATGGGCCCAGCCGTCCATAATCCCCCCTGTCCCGGCCCTGGGTCTCCCAACCCCCCTCCCCTCCCCTCCTCCCTCCCAGCACCCAGCCTCCTGCTAGGAAGGATTAAGGCTGTGCCCAGCCGGGCGGCTCTCATCAGCCTGAGGAGGGGCTGACAGCCGCTCTGAGGAGACAAGATGTCCCCCTAGGAGCAGAGAAAGGGGACACACAGCCCTTTAGGCAGGGGTGTGGGGGGGGGAAGGGTTCTAGAAACTTCCCCAGAGTCTGCCCAGGTTGAGGGTGGTGGTGCACAGGGAAGATGCCAACCTAGGCCGAGTCTACATCCAGAAAGGGGCCTCTGGGGATGAGGGGTTTGTTCACTGCTCCCAGAAAGCCGGCCCTGACACCCCAATTTCTCTCCTCACCACCTCACCCTTGTCTGGTCCTTCCCAAAGGCCAGGCTCCCCGCTTTCAGGGGATTACAAGGACACCAATGTGGGTAGAGGTCAAAGAAAACGCGTGCGTGAATAGGAAAGCGCCTTGTCCACGCGGGTCATGTGCCCTGGTGTGTCCTTCTTGTTGTTGAGGGGGGTTGTTTGGTTTGGGGCTAGTCCTGGGCCTTGAACTCAGGGCCTGGGCGCTGTGTCTGAACTTTTTCACTCGCAACTGGTGCTCTAGCACTTGAGCCACAGCTCCACTTCTGGCTTTTTGGTGGGTCGTTGGAGAGGAGTCTCATGGACTTTCCTGTTTATTCTGGCTTCGAGCTGTGTGACCTTAAGATCTCAGTCTCCTGAGTAGCTGGGATTACAGGTGTGAGCCACCGACTCCCTCATTGGTGACTTGATTTCCTATTTCATTTCCACCTTCTATGGATTGAATGGAGTCTGATGAAATTCCCCCCCCCTCCCCCCGCCACCTAAACCACCCATGGACGCAGGCACAAAGCGACAGTTCTCTGGGGGGTTTTTGTACTCAGAGAGTCTGCACTCATGGGAAATAGACTCAGGGGGGTTGATGGATAAACCAGAAGACTTCCAAACACACAAGGGGGTGTGGGGGACCCATCAGACCCCGACCAGGCCCCAGAGACTCAGCTAGCATGTGCACGGGGCGGGGCCGGGGTTCGATCCACAACACTGCATAAAAAAAACAAACACTTGGGGCTGGGAAGGTGGCTCAGTGGTAGAGTGCTTG